GTTTATCAATTTCAGTGAATACGTCTTCGCTTGTCATGCTCCCCTGATACGTTTTCAAAAAATTTTGTATTTTTCAATTTCAGTGAAGACCTCCTCGATTGTCATGCTCTCCTGATACTTTTTTGAAAATTTTTCATTTTTCAATTTCAGTGAATACCTCCATGATTGTCATGCTCCCCTGGTACTTTTTTGGAAATTTCGAATTTTTCAATTTCAGTGAATACCTCCTCGATCCTCATGGTCCCCTGATTCTTTTTCGAAAAATTCGAGTTTATCAATTTCAGTGAATACGTCTTCGATTGTCATGCTCCCCTCATACATTTTCAAAAAATTCGAATTTTACAATTTCAGCGAATACCTCCTCGATTGTCATGCTCTATGGATTGTTAGTTCGGCGCCGTCTACCGTGGCATGCGTGTAATTCTTCCTCCCTTACTCATGGAAAAGTGCACCGCCAGCGGTCGCCTGTGACGCGCCTTCCTTTTTTTACATGAAATGAGGATTTGCATGAAAATTCCCCCAAATAACGCCACACATTTTATTCAGCCAATCAGAATGATCAATTTCACATAATGCCATGACACTTTTTTCAGCCAATGAGAATCGCCCATTTTACATGCTCTCCGCCATGACACTTTCTAGTCCATGCTTTTTATTTAATAGATTTATCCCAAAATAATCAAACAAACATCGCCAGATGCATCGAATAATCCACCTTATTCATCCCACATCATTCTTTCATCTGTTGCCATTGATTTCTACCTGTTTTTCATACAAAAATTGCATCCACGCAATATCCACGCAACATACACACTACATCCACGCTGTAACGTGGATGATAGTTTGTTAGGGTTCGAAACATTGAAAAAACTATTTCTTAAGAACGTTTTAAATAGACAACGAAAATTTAAAAATATGAATAACAGCAAATGTCCAAAGCTTTCCGACTACAATTTCAGAGAGTTCTCAATCTTCTAAGAAAAACTTGGTAAAACAAGTTTTCCGAAATTTATTTTTTAAAATATCAACTTGTTAGTAATCAAACTGATAAAACTTAATTTTCCGAGGGAATAATAAACCTCGACGTTTCAGATGATTCCTAATCGTTTGAGTATACATTCGCAAGATATTTTTTCCCAATTTGTTGAACAATTTCTCGAATTTATGAAAGTGAGTGCACTTTTCATCCCGTCCGTCTGTTGTTTCTCCATCATACCCCCACTCCGCTATACCGGATGTTTTCGTTCGTCATGATTTTCTCGAATTATCAACCTTCTCGGGTTTGCGCTTTGACATATTCCTAAGCACGGTCTTCCAGAATTATCGACAATCCCGGGCTCGCTGTCTGTCTTATCCATACTGGGGGCATACTGACGGACTCTGAAAATTAACGGCACTTTCGGGCTCGCGACCTGTTTTACCTACAGGTACGGGCTCTGACCATGTTGAAGTTTTTGTACGGGCGCTGGCAATCTCCCCTATAATCTCTGATTGCGAAACGCCCCAATTGAGGGATGAAGAATAGAGATTTCTCCCTGAATTGAGGTGATCAGCTGTCGCGATTCGTTTTTTATGAATACAGGTGGAACCCGTGGGATGGCACCATGACAATCAGAAAATTCATGACGGAGGATTGATTGCAATTTTTGATTTGATTTTGATTACAAATTACAAGAATGTGCTGCTGCATACACCATATGAATTCTCACAAAATGATCCCATATGTCATTCCTCAATAAAGTAATCTTATTCAATTTTTGTGTATCTCTTCATATATCTTGCACTGTTCATTTTAAGTAATTAAAAATCGAAGAATAATAATCTTTTAGTGAATAATGAAGAATCGAGATAACACGAAAACTAATGCAATCCGTAAGGAAGAAAATAATGTCGGTAAAGACGAGAATACGATAGACAAACTAGAATTTTGTTACCCTTTGCAGGAACCTATTATATCATATGATGGGTGACATTATAATTATATTTGATAACTGATTTTCCTTGCCGTGAAAGAGTAAAATGACAGAAACTGGTGTTCTTGTAAAAAAAACGGAACCAAGTAACAGTTTCGCTCAATAGATTCCGTAAAAATCTCGTGTTGCCAAAATATGGTGTTCTTAGAAGTTTAAAAAAACTCGGAAAATGTAAATGAAAAGGCCAAGAAGAGTGATACGACCTGATTGAAAGGATTCAATAATAAAAATAAGAAAATCAATAGAGGCAGGACCAACTTGCTTGGCGCGGTTTTTCCCAAGAACTAGTTAGAGCCGAAAAGTATCTTCGGTTACATTTAATTATTAATCAAATTTCATTTTAGCATTATCTTGTAAATAAAACCGCGCCAAGTAAGTTGGTCCTGCCTCTACTGATTTTTTTACTTTCATTACTGAATCCTTTCAATCGAGTCATATCATTTTTTTTGGCATCGTTATTCACATTTTCCGAGTTTCTTGAAAATTTATAGGAACGCTATAGTTTGGCAAAACACGAGTTTTTTACGGAATTAATTGAACGAAACGTTTATTTGGCTCAGTTTTTTTTTACAAATGTTATGTCCGGAGACGTTGTCAGCGTCGGAGGACAACTATTGTATAGTAGTTATATACGGGATACCAGAACTAGAACTTTTGATATAAAAATATGGAAAAGCTAAGTTAGAACTGTTGAATGAAGCTAAATATTTTATATTTCAAGTTTGATTTGGACGACGCTAGGTTTGGTTTTCATTTTTCCCTTGAGTATGTCGTTAATTTAAAATATTGAAAGAGGAATAGAAATTCAAGGATTAGGAATAATCAAATGATTCCGAGGAAATTTTGTGCTCAAAAGTAATCTTCTATATTCTTAACCTTATAGAAATACAATTAAAAGTGTTGGTTCGCATTTAGAATTTTATGTATGACAAAGTTTATTGAATGAAAAGTTAGCGACGATTAAATAATTATCCCCGCATAATTCTTCATAGATTTTGATAGCCGATTAGTTGGGAATTGAAATGATGAGACTAATTCTTTGAGACTGACGGTTGAGCAGTGAGGTTGAGTGCAATCCTTAATTATTGAGAGGTGTGGATTCTTCAGTGACACAATTGTCTTTCTTCACCAGAATAAGAGTAGCCTCTGATCCTGTTATGAATATTTCTTAGTCTGCTACGTTCACCCACTCGCTTATAATTAATAAACAAAGTTGAAGAGTTTTGTGAATGTCCACAACCATGGAATCTGATGAATTAGTCCTCTTCAAATGCAAGAAACACTCCTTCTTTCGATTCAAGGATGCAGTATTGCTTTACACTTTTGTCCGTTTTAGCTATTTACTATTATTCAATAGTTCACCACGCACTATATCGACTCGTTTGCGAATTATAATATGGGAGGCCCAAAAATGACAGATCGATTCCGAAAAGGAAATTTCCACCAAGTTCAAATTATCGCTCCGACGGTTGCTTCTAGACTGGAATAATTTTTGGTTTTCGGAAGCGGATCGGTTCATGTTTATTACACGATTGGCTTTTAATTGGTGGAAATTATGGCGTGGTTTTCCCCCTTCTTATTCTTAAAGGGAATTGACCTGTCAATTCAGCAATTTTGATAGCGCGTGATTTCGCGGGTGAGGTTCGCTGGCTTGGCATATGTGATTCTGGCGCAAAGGCGAATGCACTCACCTGTATGGTGAAATCAAATTTTGATGATTTTATATTTTTATTTCAGTGACGGTAAAATTGAACTGATTTATCGAAAGTAGAATTTAGTATTTAATGAAGGTATTTGCAGTGGTTAATATTAATAAAAAATGCAGGAAGACTATTTATTGTTTGTGGATATCAGACAAAAACACCAGTCTTTGTCAGTTGGGGAGATTTCACGGATTTTTTCAATATAAGGAAAGGATTATTATCACGTTTTCAAAATTTTTGTCACCCATATGACGTTTTCAGTTCATTTGAAGTGTATAATTTGCATGATTTTCTTATATAATACACAATGTATTTCAACAATTTGAAAAACTTCTTTCTACATTTATGTATGTATTAGACCGAATCAATTTTTTTTTATGTCGAAATCTCGAAATTCATACTTCCATTAACCTCCAAAATTGACTTCAGTCAGAGGTGCAATTACACACATAAATAGGTCAAGAACTCAATATGATTTTCCAACAAAACCCAAAGCTAATATCCGTTACCATAAAATAAACAATTATAATTATGGAACTAAATAAAAAACAAAATCCGAGGGAAGAAATGAAACCCCTCTGTGTCCCTGTTGCAATTCTACGGTTTGAATACACTGATGGTAACATCTTAACGCCCAATTTGGCCCAGGTTAGGTTGGATCGAACTGCTGCTAACTTAGTGACTTCAATGTAACTTTCAATGATAATAGAAATCGGGAAAATATTGAAATGATCCCGTTGCCATGGGCGTATTTTTGCCAATATTAATCGGAGAGAGGGAAAACTTATACCAATGAAAAATTGGTGCACAGATTTCATGTAACTTGTGGCGTTTGTATTTTATGGATTGAATACGATCAGGAGGTAGAGGAAGGGGTAGTTGTGTCGTGTATAGATACACCGTAGTTCTCGGTCTTATTTGTTGGATAGAGGCGAAACTATTACTTGGCCGATACGCTACCGCATATCTCGATTCCGGTACATTTAGGTTGTGAATACCTCTAAAAATTATGTCAAATTTTTCCGAAACTATGAATCCTTTTCTTTTCGGATTCACAAGATCATGTAAATGGTTTTTCGGATACTATCTGACAGTTTTCCAGCAGGATTCTCAGTGTATGAGGCTCCTCGTATATAAGGAAGCTGTCAATCAAATTTTCTTTATATAGGCACAATACAGAAGTTGAGATGACATGAAGAATTCATTTCATGTATTTTATAATTTTGGGATTTTATCAAACAAATTCTTCCATTCAAATGACAATTGACACATTTTCATTTAACCAAACGATATGACAATGTGGTAAGATTCGATTTTATGTGACCACCTTTCTAATTGTTTGACAGACTAAAAACCGCCTCATCCAATAGATGTGAAGAATGAGGAGTTTATCATTAACTTGTATAATAAACTAGTATAATAGTATAATATAGTATATAGTATAATACTAGTATATAGTATTATATAGTAATATAGTATAATACTAGTATGAACAAATGTACTTGACGAATATCCAACAAACAATATGTAATAATGAAAATATCGATTCATGCATCACATGTAATATTTCCCTTATGAACGAAAAAGAATGATGAATCAAGCTTTTAAAATCGTTTAAGCATTTCAGAATACGTTTTTATTTTATACAAATCTGGCAACACAAGTACTTACATCCAGGTCATTCCAGTAGCAAATTGGTTTCTCTCTGGAGGAGATTAAAAAGCTTGATATCGAAATGTGTCTTCAAGAATCGGAACGGATTTCATAATTGAAAAAGCATAAAAATGAATAATCAATAGGAATATGCTAAAGAAAAGCTTTTCAGTGAATTCAAAGATTGGTTTTTAATGATTTATTAACAATAATCCGCTGGCTCATCTGTAGAATTGTTGATGTTGTTGCCACTGAGGGTGTGGTAGTTGTTGTTGATTGTACTGATTATCTTGGATATAACCATTGGGTGATGGGCGGATATTTGCGATAGGGTTAAGGTATTGCTGCTGTTGCTGTGTTCCATAAGTGACCTGATTAGAGAGTTGAGGTGCAGAGTAGTAGTTTTGATTTTGTGATACTGGGGGTGGCATATTATAACCGTAATTGATTTGAGTAGTTTGATAATAGTGATGTGTTGGTGCTGGATGAATATCATGTGTCATTGTTGTATCTTGAATGGGAACAGTTATTAAGTTTGTTCTCATCGTTTGATTTGTGGAGCCAGAATTTTGATTGTAATTTTGTAATGTCGCCATTTGCGATCGATGCTGCTGCCGGTGTTCACTCGTTGACTGATTGACCATTGAATTGACTCTTGGATCGTTCCCCATGATGGGCTGAACAATGTGTGATTGAATTTGTTTTATTCTAATCGGTTGTAATGGTCCTGAGGAACCTTTACTCATTGAAGATTCAAGATCCGGTTTTGACTGCATGTATTGTGGTGAAGGGTCCATCGATATACTTTGTACTGGTTGAGGAGGTGCTGATACATGACGATGATTGATGTGAGCCTGAAACAAAAATTTGTTAGGATGAGAAAAATTGCTTATATCGTTTTTTGATATACATGTCCATACTTATGAAAGAGACCTACTTCGTCACATCTGACTTTCGACATATTTACGCCTTTGTATTTCCATTGAAATCAATATTCACTAATATTGTAATTTTCGATCTCGACCATCTTTTTCTGAGATTTCGAATTCCCTTTGGGCTCCAAATGAAAGGTTATTCCATGAGACGTTCTCAAATACTTATGGATTAATTGAGGTGGTTGATTGTAAATATAGAAAGAAAGCCTTAAAAAGTACTTGAAAACAAAGTTAATCATGTAGGCTAACAGACCGGCAAAACGATGACGTTTGCAACCTCGTCACACCGGTGCTCGTCGTGCAAAAAAACCTGGTAGCACAGCCACGTTCTGTAACGTGATGCTTCGTCAGTTTACTTGCTTGTCGACCTCTAGTCCCTGTGGATCAACTTGATCCTCACAAATTCTTCTAATATCTTTGACCTTGCGCTTCTTTGCTGGAATTCGGAATTAATTAATTTATTTCAACCATTGTGCACTCCGTGTAAAAAATAGCCCGGCATTTCGTGTCGGTAACGCGGGATTATCGTAGAGGGCCTTCGTTAAGTTTATTCTTGTATCGAGTCGAAATGGTTAATTCGATATTGCTATCGCCGATTATTTGAAGATTGTTAATTTTCTTCGCTAAGCTCCTGGACACATCTTCATGTCAGTTTCTTCAACTCAATTCAAATTTTCGCGTAGCCCGCTCCTGGTGATAGGAAACACTGGGATTGGCGAAAATCGGAGTTTTTGGTTCCAGTGGTCATCCCGAATTCAAATGATCTAGCGCCTTCCATTTTCAAATTCTAGGGTTCGTTGGCGTGAAAGAACGGTGTAGTGGAGTGAGATTTTCGTGAACTTCATAAAAATATGTCACAATTCATGACTAATCTCTCGGAACCGCGTGTATCTGTTTATTTCTCTCCAGATCTGTCATTGATTACGATTGTGCCGGTGGAACGTGGATGGTATATAATTGACAAATGTCATCGCAGCAATGACACCGCATGAACACAGCAGAAGGTATGAAAAGGAGGAGGGCACGTCTTCCAAAATTTTTGGAATTTTCGCTTTTTGAGATGTGTCTCCTTTTTTTTCAATGGAGCCGCGGGCAATGCTTCAAAAATGAAAATGGTATATTCAAACAATCCAAAAATGGAAGAATGATGAAGGATTCAAGTAGTGAAACGAGTTCATTCGTTTAGGAAGATATTAATTTCTAATAATTATCCGCAAGCAGTCTATTGCTCCCATTAAACCAACAACACTCGGGTGCATGCCACGCGCGTTCGTAAAGTTTAAAATTTCGATAATTTATAGGATTTATAGAATCTCTTGACGAAGCAACCCCTGCAACTGCTATACCTTAATGAAAACCCTCAGTTAAAATGACAATGGTATACTTAATGTGTACAAATCCATTACGTAGATTGCCTATGGTTTCTCTATTGAAGTGAACCTTTTATCTGCCTGCGGTTTATTTTATTTATTATTGATAAACATATTAATGCGAATTCGTTATCAGATTCTTAAGCGCCCTTCGTTTTTCCAACGTGTGCGATTCGCGAATTTTACCATAGTTGAATGTAGATTATTTTTATAGCGCCCAAATTCCATTAGGGGATTATATACAGTTAGAATTTTTCAAAAATCGATACAGAGAGTCCATCTTATGTCCCTCGAATAGAGAACATCATGTAAGTTGAAAAAAGAAAATTATTTTATTTTTTCTATCCGTAAGCTTCTTCCAAAACTTTGAACGTGTTTTTCTCGAAATTATGTTATCAAAGTCAGTGACCTTCTCAGATGTATTTGATTTCGTTTTATACCTCCCTCTCTCCTTTTTCCCAAATTTTTTTGCAGTGGTTCCCCACTCCCTTTCGCGGCAGTATGGACCAGGAGGGTGACACTACAGCATTGCTCCTTTAGAAAATCAGGTCCCCGTTAATGTCCCGCGCCACTTGTCGTGGTTGCGCGAATTTTTGTAGAACTAATATTCTTCCATAACCTTTGAACCTTGATTCTCATTATTTACATTCAGACAAGTCAGTTTTTCGGTTTAAAAAATTTAGATGTTGACAACGCAGTATGATTTAAGGCGTGAGAAAAAAAGAACAAAAATTTCAAGGTGTTTTTATGAGGTATTGACTGTTGAAAAATTCCGATCTGTGGTGTAGAAGAGTGTTCCGTTGGATCCAAAAAGAGTCCTGAAACATCAGCAGGATACTTCTTCTAAGTTCCAAAAGATCCCAACACTCTAAGACAGTGGCGAGATGCCTCCCGTACTGTGGATTTAGGTTCGAAGCCTTCTACACAATTTGTGTGCCATAAATACCTTTAACTAGAGCAGATATCCACACACAAATTTATACGAGGGCCAGATGGAAAAATGCTGGGTGTAGTGAGTACCATTCAATATCCGCAAACTGTTTATTATTTTTTCCTCATAATTATTTTTTGTTTGCAGGGCCAGTACGCTGTTCCTGTTATGGTGTCTACTGCTGCACATGCGTTCCGCCAGCCAGTATGCATGTTTGAGAGACAATGACATCCTCAATGACAATGGCGATTCGAATCCTGCCTCTGCCATTTCCTCGGACTGTTTGAAAGTGAGAAAGCCACATATATGTATTGGCTAACCGAAAAGTTGATTCACTTCTGATTTTCTCAGGTTTCAAATATCTTTCGAGAATCAATACACGGTGTGGATTTGATCCTCAATTTTTCAAACTTCCGCAAAAGTCGTTCTCCAAAAAAACAGAGCAGCAAAAACATGAGGTTTTGCTATTAGGAGAGATGAAGATTAGGAAGGGTGTAGCTGTAGACACCAAAACTATGGAGTACAAGGGAGTCGTCGACTTCGGGGACGAGCAAAAGGATTCCGTGAACTTTTCTGACCAGGCTGATTATAAAATAGTAATTATATTTCAGCCACTTGCTCATTCATACACTCAACCTATTGCAGTATTCGCTTCCAAAGGATCAGTGAAAGGTGAGACGTTGTCTGTTCTGGTACTGAAGGCCATAATTTTGCGGAAAAAAATTGGAGCACAAATCCATGGAGTCATCGAAGACGGTGCCAGTACAAATCGAAAGTTCTGGACAACTTTGCACGTTAATCCAAAGCTTGATCCAGAACGTCCTGAATTATTTCGCAATTACTTTGTCCATTCGCCAAAAGAGAATCGGAAAGTTTATCTATTCTCTGACATACCTCATTTAATCAAAACTATTCGGAACAAGTGTACAACTGAACAATTGTACAAATCATGGAACCCTTCAGCTTGGTTTTGCTGTCGTGTTGGGAAACATAATTATTATTAGAATTAAAAATATTTCATGCGGATGAATTATTACAATAGATCCATCCCGATAAGCCTCCAATCGGATGGGAACATTTGCGACTATTGCATGAGGAGGACTGAGAGTTTGCTGGTAACAGTGGTGACTTATTCTGCAGAAAACTAACAAGAGACCATATTGAACTCAATAACTCATCAAAAATGCGAGTGCGCTTGGCGACGCAAGTTAGTGTGGTTTTCAATAATTTCAAGCCATGGAATACAAAATCTATCCATCTATTCACAATAAAAATGTTTATTGATCCGTAGGTTTTCAGTTAAACAGTTGCCTCTGGCCTTCGAATGTTTCGAAATGCCCCTGGTTTAATGGGCAGTGAGGAAAGTGAGTTTTTCTGTTTGTGGGAGAACGACTTGTTCGACGCTTTTAAGGGCCGGATGGAGGGAATTTTAAACCGAACAGCGATTTTACGCCCTCCCACTTTGCGGTCAAAGCAAGAAGTTTGATTTCGATGTCAAGCTTATCGGTAATGGCGGAAATCGCTAGAAATCAGGGCGACAGTGACAGTGGGGCTTGAGATGGCCCCACTGTTCACAAAATTCGTCAAACAATTGGGAGAAAAATCGTCGCGTAAATCCATGGTCAAACGATTGAGATTCGCCTGAAACGTCCAGATTTGTTAATTCCTTATGAAACCTTTTTTTTTAAACGGCATCATCTTGACAAATTAAAAAATCGGTAAACAATTAGGGGGAAAATTGTGTCACATTAAATTTTAATTTAAATTAGGCCCAACTGACTGAGAATAGTGTCGAAAATCGAGATTTGTGGGTCCCTTGAAGCTATAAAATTCAGCACTATTATTCCAACGCAAATACCCGATTTCCAAAAGGATCGGCAGAGGCAAAAGAAAAGTCGCTACACGTATATATAATAATTATGTAATTATGTAATTATGTAGATTTTTATAGGTGCAGATCGACTCAGAATCACGCCTGAAGAATGGGGTTGAATTTGATAGCTAGAGATCGATTCAGAATCACCCCTGATTCGATCTGCACCAGTCAAATTCAACACCATTTTTCAAACCATCCCTACCCCATCCCAAACCTGATCGGAGGGAGGTAAGAAAAATGTCTCTACAGATGTTAATCGATTCAGGCGATGATTATACGGAATAGGGAGATTTAACTGAGTGCAGTAGAAGAAAATTAGGGATCGTAGGTAGAATGAACGTGGCAGGTTGAAATGGGGGTTGACGGCTGGATGAGTATGTTAGGATGAAATGGGGGTGATGGTGGAATGAACACATGGAACAAAATGAGTGATTGAGGGTGGACTGAGTGTGTCAGGGCAAAATGGGGGTTGACGATGGGCTCACTGCTTGGGGGAAACTGAGAAGTTGAGGGTGAAAGGAATGCATTGGGAAAAAATGGGGGCTTGAGGGTCGGATGAGTCTGTCAGGGTCTAGTGTGGAATGATGGTGGAATAAGGGTATGGGGGAATGAAAGCAGTTGAGGGTTCCTGACTGTGTCAGTGTCAAATGGGGATTGGTGATGGCGAGAGTGCATGCGAGAAACTGAGGGTTTGAAGATGAAATTAATTCATAGAACAAAAAATATAATTTTGAGGGTAGGA